AGCCGGCAACTTTCAGTGTCATTAAGCCGCTGCGCCACCGCGTCCCCCTTCAGTACTCCTAGCTCTATAGTATAGGCTCAAGCCTGAGGTCACGTTCCTAGTCAGATTCACTTGTTCTTTCATATGTATGTATCTGTATTAGACAGGGGCAACACTGTATCCAAAGGGATTGGTACACCTGTTGACATTTTTCTTAGTGTCCCCAAGGACCCCTATTTCAATTGCCTTTAATTTGGTTTTCAATTTGAACTAAAAATGAATTATATCGGAATTCTGATATGCTGCAAAGAGCAAGCCCTTAATATATTTAGTGCTTTGGAATCCAGCTGGTCTATCTACCCAAGCAGAGACAAAACAAAGTGGACTGAAATAACTGCAAATATAATAAGACTCCCTTTTATGTATTTTGGTGAACAATCAGCCCCACGCTTTTAGTCAGCATTAAAATGTGTTGGAGAAATACCTCAAGAAACCCCCCACTGCCCTTCTCCCTTCTCTGCCACCTGGGTGGTGAGGTTCAGGTCCATTCCTCTACTGTCAGTACATGGATTAAAAGTCTCCAAGACTTGATTAAGAGTCTCCAGAGTCTTGGTCAGACTCGCAAGGATACGTTAACGTTCCCAAGTGAAAGATCCTGAATATACATACAAGCAAGCTTATATAATAGTTTCACAGGAGGGACTTCAAATGGTGCAATTGCATTGGCTAATCCATATTTGGAAGTGGAAAATCCCCCAAAAGTTTACCTTTGCCAATCTATACCATAATAGTGGCATTTCTATAGTAATCTGTTATAGGGTTTCCCCCATTATCTACCACGGCTGTTTAACAGCCTGGTGTGCAGTTCCACTACACCTGAACTGCCCCTTTGCACCCACATAAGCATAGTGACCATTTATCTCTTCTGTGCTATTTCAGTTAACTTTGCATCCTAACAATGAAATCTATTTGGCTAGAGCTAAACCTCTTTATTAGGACTAAATTCCTTATGAATCCTCAAATCTCTGTGGGTTCATCCCTCTCTTACTTATGGAAATTCTTGATGCTTTAGCTTGCCACGTTTCCCATTAGTAATGGAAATTATGTGTAACAAAGGTTTGTCGACTTCTTTGCTTCAAAAGAATTGGGAAGTAAACTGCTGTTTTCGTTTTCTTAAATGAACAAAAGTTTAGCCCAGTCTAGAGAAGGAGCACATAGCCTCCAAAAATAGGCTTGCAAATTGACAGGTGGGGGGGGTTGATACCTACACTGGAGAATGGGCAACGTAAAACAATAATGACTAGGACATGAAATATTGCAAGAAAAAAATGTTTTATTTTTATTTATTTAT